TGCAGAGAAAGAAGACTCCATTAGGGCTGACTGTTTGATATGAAGAGAAATAGTATAAATAGTGGGAGATCTGGGATATGTCTGAATGGGAACAAGGGGTAATAAAGTGGGATTCTGCAAATAATGGTGACATTTCTGGAAAGGATCTTAGGTGAGCATGACTTGGAGAAATAACACTTGTGTTGCGTCTAAACTGGTGTCTATTACTGACTCACATGACAGTGACAATACAGACCTCTTCACTTTTGTTGACCTTCTCTCCTCTGTCTGCAATGCTTTCCCCCTTTCTCACTTCCTGTTCAAATCCTTCCTATTCTGTAGGAGCAAAGAAAAGCTTATCTTTTACACAGTCATCTCTCTCTGCTTCACCCTTAGAATATGTAATATCTTTGACAACAAACTCAGCTGTACAGAAAATTATACCATCTCCCCTCCCCTTTAGTTACTTTAAAATATTTAACTTTAGTTTTAATTTTAATTAAAAATTTAATCAAAGTTATACATACACATGATTTGGGTCAAATCACTCTGAGAGGTTTATGATGAGAAATAATAATCCCTGCACCCCTTCTTCAGAAGCAACTACTTTTATTTCCTTTAATTATTTGGTTCCCTCCTCTCACTATACAGAGTGGCCGCCTAGTCTGAACACATAGGCAAATTCCCAGGACATTTTTATTGATATCAAATTATTATACATGATAAAATAATATCACCTTTGTTTCCTGACTTTATGGTCACCCTGTGGTTATATTTTAAATTTGGTTAGATCAATTTTCAGTGCTTTATGTATTATCATGACTATGTAAAACCTATTTACAACTCAGCCATGTAGTAAATCATAGGGGATTTTTCTGCACAACTTTTCTTAAAATTATGAGTTAGAGTTTATAATTGTCTAGATATGTGGTGTCAAATATGGTGCGGCTATTTAAAATAAAATAAAATTTCAGTCACACTAGTCTCATTTTAAGTGGCTATTGAAGATCATATTGAACACAGATATTGAACATTTTCATCACCTCAGAAAGTCCTATTGGATAGCACTTTTATCACCTCAGAGATGACCTAAGAGACCATGCTATTAAAATAAAAATATCTTAAAAAATTTCTTTTGAACCATTCAATATCATCTCTGCTTCAAAACAGTGAAACAAAAAGAGTCTCATTTTATTAACAAAATTTATGCTCTGGGTTCACCATCTTTTGATACCTCCTCCCCAACACTGCTTGAAAGGGATACAGAAATGAATTAATTACTCAGATGTTACTCTAGAATTATTGCCATGACAGTGATCAACCAGTGAACTTTAAATTGCAGTTATAATTAGCTGTCTTCGGTATTTAAAAATTTTACATTATCACCTTCACTGTATTCTAAGTCTGTGCTGTCCAATACAGTAGTCATGTGGCAAACTAAATTAAATTAAATTAAAAAATTTTGTTGCATTAGCCACATTTCAAGTGTTCAATAGCCACAGGTGGCTATTGGCTGCCATTTTGGATAGTGCCAATGAAGATTATTCCATCATACCAAAAGAGTCTGTTGGACAGAACTGGTCTAGATTTTTTGTTTGCTTAGCTTTTCCTAACTCACCCCCAAAATTCATAGCCAATTATACAAATCTTATGTCATGATGGTCAGACTTATTACACTGTCTTCAATTTCATCTTTAGCCACAGAAGTCTGATCTGTTCTGATCAGCTTGGTTGCTTTTGAGCCTATTACACAGCTTTTATCCTGGAATGTCCTTTTACTATCATCATGTGTAGGATTTCCTCTGACACTTCCTGGGCCTAGGACAAAAAATGGGAAGCCTCAGTCTTCACCCCTTCCATCTTCTCTTCCTAGTCCTGGCTACCCTTTACACTCAGCCCATATATCCAAGGTCCACCCACAGCTCCAGCAAAAAGCCACCTCTTCATCACCTTTTGGGCCTAGGGGCGTGTGCACATCCAGTCTCTAAATCTGCCCAAGTCATGATGGATTTGGGGAAAAGCCTGTGCAGATTCTGCAATTGGGTCTGGGCAATTCGAGCAGGGAATTCTGAGGTCCTGAGTACCAGGATATGGTTTAGAAGATGGCAGTGTAGAGGCTGGGTGGGCTTCATCATGCTGGACTGTAGAACTCTTCACCTGTTGGGAGGGGCACAACTCAAGGAGAGCCAGAGTGGGGCTTTTCTCTAACTCAGTTTGATCTCTCTTTTGGGCTCACACTCTCCTGAGTGGTGGGAAAGTACTCACTGTCACTCAGGACTTCCTCAGTCACTTCAGGGTTCCCTCCTCCTTGGGTTTGCCTCTAAATTCCAGGGTGCTTATACAGAGCCATAGGGTCAGTTGAAGATGGAAGTGGGTGAGGGGTATTTTTGGTTGCCATCGTGTAGTTACACTAGTATCCATAGCAACTTCTTGTCATTCACCTGACCCCTAATTGGTAGTCTGTGGAGATCACGTCTGGAGTCTTTCCACCTCAACTCTAGGCCTTCTCCAGGTTTGCAGGCTCTCGGCAGCATGCTGGTATGTGAGCAGACTTAATGAAGCAGCCTCAGGCCTGTCCACGCAGGCCATCCGTGTGGCTGTCTCTCCTCCTGCTCCTGCAGCATGCTGGGTGCGAGAGAATTTTGTGAGACTTTTTGCTTCCTCAGATTCTACCTGAGAGATAGGGCACAGACCTCATTTACTCTTGGCTCTGGAGCCATACTGCTTCCCTTCACGGGGGATTCAGTCCACTTGAGTCTATCATTGATGTATAGATATTGTGCCTTAAGTCCTTTACGGTTCTGGATTCTGAAGTTTAAAAGCTCATATTATAATGGGCTACAATAATCAACCACATCGTATATCGACAAAATAAAATTAAAAAAATAAATAAATAAAAATAAAAGCTCACATTATGACATCTCAAAAGCCATTTCCCTCAAACTTTTATTTCTGCCAAAAGTTTCTAAAGCCTATTTAGAAACTACAAAACCAACAGTTCATTTTTGCCCTGATTTTCCACAATGGAATTCTGAGACCTTGAAGGTGCATTGCCCTAGCTGCGGCCTGAGTGGGGGTAGGGTGGGGAGGGTCGGGAACTGACCGCATCACTATTAAACCTTTATGATAAACTCTTTTGCTCTGTTAATTATCTTCTCATGTATGTAGGATTTGCCTTTTCACCTGGATGTTAGGTTTGTTGAGGGCAGAACGGCAGTTAGAAAATTTTTTAAGTAAAGGATAACATTTTCTTTATTCTTATAAGTGTGTCCATCATACAATAATTCACTGATTGAAGACCTTTAGCTTTGTATCTTTATGGTACATGACTGTGTTTGGAATATAGTAAACAATTAAATAATTGATAAATTTGCTGAATATACCTCGGAATAGCTCCAAAAGAGAAAATAAACATTTACCATATTACCCTTATAAATTTTTTTTATTAATGGTAGATAGAATTTATTAGCACTTCCTATATGTCAGTGATTCGACTAAGAGTATTATATATTTATCGCATATTTTCACAACATCCTATGACATAACTACTAATATTCTCATTTTCTAAGTGAGCATGCTAAAGCTCAGAAAGATTAAAAACTTGGCCCATTATCAGTCATTCATTTTGTAAGTATTACCCTTTTAAAATTAAGAAAAAAATTTTATTTACTTGGGAAACAATAATTACATGAGTGTAAAAGAGATGCTAAAATTTTTTTTTAAAAAAGGATCTTTATGTATAGTTAGAAAGTAATCCTTCTTTTCTCATTTGGCTTTTCAATTTCAGGCTCAGGTTGACAGGTCTCTTTTATTTATTTATTTATTTTTTAAATTAAAAAAATTTTTTTCCCCAGTCCCACCCCCGGCAGGTCTATTTTAGAAGCCCAGCCCTTGAGGTCAAAGAGGACCAGTTCTTGCTGCTGCCCGTTGCCCCAGTGCCAGGAATGCCAGTGTGTTCCTTTTTTTAGAAAATGCAGCTGCTGGTTTCTAGCCCACTGAAGCCACTCCACACTTCAGTGACAACTGCTGAGGGTGGGGAGGGGAGGAGGCAGGTGTAGGGAAAGCCCATGGTCAGAAAGGTCCCATGGTAACTAGGGTAGAGGTAAACTATTAGCTGGGCACAGAGACATTTCCAGGAGGTATTCTGAGAAGTGGGAGGGGTAGAAAAAGAAATCCATTCTGGGCTGCAAAGATAGGAGAGGCTTTGTGATCCTTCATAATGAATTGAGCATAAGTTCATTTCATACCATGCCATTGCTGTCAACTATTTAATTCAGATTAACAAATATCTTTTGAGTCCTCCCCACCTAAAAATGCAAATAACTGTTGTGCTAGCTCCTAGGGATGGAATACAAAGATAAGTAAGATATGACTCTTTTTCAGTAGAATTTGCTACAGATCTCCTCATTATTTATCTCATAACCCACTATCTATGTTGCTCTCCAACTTGGACCTTCTAAATCACTCTCCATTTCCTATGGAGCAGAACACAAATTCCTTTGCCTGACTCCCAAGGCCCTTCATGATTCAATTCCAGCCTATATTTCCAGCCTCTTCCTGAGTATGCTCGGCTTCTTGGTATGTGGTGAATAGGCATTGCCACCATATTCTCCTATAACACTCTGTCTGTGGCTGGAACTCCTACTTACTCTTCACCGTTCAGCTGAGATGTCACCCATGACGTCTTTCCCTTTGCCCCAGGCTGTGTTAGGGGCCCCTCCTCTGTACTTCCTTTGTGTCTATCACTATTATAATCCCCTGTGACATAATATTGGAATTGTTTGTACAGTATATTTTCTCCTATGGGGGAACTTCCTGAAAGGTGGAACCATCTCCTTCTCATCTTTATATCTCCAGCACATGCCATAGAACTGGTCCACGGCAGGCACAGAATTAGTAATGGATTGGTGAGTGAATGGAATAAATTCATTTATTATTCTTTACCTTTTTGATATAACTGCCAATTTTTAAAATTCCAGTCTTCTTCTTCCCTATCATTACTCATCAAACTCTCTTTCTAGAATGCTGTCAGAAGGGTATCTCAGTGGACTGGCCTACTCGAGTGACACCCACTGGAGTTGTGCATCTTATAATGAGCAGGCGATTGGGGAGAAGGAAGAGAAGACAAATTCTGTTGCTGCTCTTCCCTATTCCTCTGTGGATGAAACACAAATCAGAAGTCTCTACATGAGCTGCAAATCCTCTGGCAAGTTTATTTCTCCAGTGCATTCAAGAGAGAGCCAACACAGCAGAAGTCAGAGAGTCACAGTGCTGCAGACAAACCCCAATCCCGTGTTTGAAAGCCCAAATTTGGCTGCAGTCGAAATATGTAGAGACCCCAGCAGAGAGACCTACTTGGTTCCCCCTTCCTGCAAAAGTATTTGCAAGAATTACAATGACTTACATATTGCAGGGGACCAGGTGATGGCCATTAATTCAGTGACAACAGATTTTCCCTCTGAGACCAGTTTTGAATATGGCCCTTTGCTGAAGTCATCTGAGATTCCTTTACCGATGGAGGATTCCATTTCCACTCAGCCCAGTGAGTTTCCCCAAAAACCCATCCAGCAGTACTCATCCAGCATCAAAGAGAAAATCAGCCTGCAGATGCACAAGCCTATTTCTAATGCAGTGCTGAATGAGTACCTGGAGCAGAAAGTGGTGGAGTTATATAAGCAGTACATTATGGACACCACATTTCATGACAGTTCTCCCACTCAGATTCTGGCATCTGAGCTCATCATGACAAGTGTGGACCAAATTAGTCATCAAGTGTGCAGAGAGAAGAACCTGGAGACATCAAAAGCCAGGGATATAGTCCTTAGCCGTTTATTACAGTTGGTGTCAACTGAAATCAGCACCCCCAGTCTCCATATTTCTCAGTATAGCAGTGTTAATCCATAAGAGAGGATGCTTCCATTCCTTTCGCTCAATTACTCGAACCAAGGCAACACTTTATTCATTTATTTTAAGAATAAACAGGAGAAGGTTGGTGAAGGGGAGTTAAGAGCTAGAGAAGTAAAGGTCGGCTGGAAGTCAGGTTTGAAAAAAGGGGAACTCACATGATTATACATGATGAAGGAATGTGGGAAGAGGGGCCCTAAAGAATGATTCAAAGAGACATGTATATAGCAACAAAGCAAAAATAAAAAAGATTAAAAAAAAAAGAAAAGGTTATGATTCACTTAAAGGAGTATAGACATGTAAAAAATAAGAAAAGCCGAATAAGAAAGAAACACACTATGGCAAAACTAAAAAGCCAAAAGTTTTCAGGATAGAGAATTAAGTATAGATTTGTTACCCAAATAAATTCCTCCAAGTTATTTCTTCCTGAGGTAAATGGACTGTAGAAGGCTGCTATATTTGGGTAGAAAGACAGGTTCAAACAGTTTTCAAAATATGTGTTTATATCTCTATTTTCTCTATTCTGTATCAGTTGATCATTTAAAGATTTATGTTTTGTAAATATTAAAACTGTATTAAATTGGAATTGTGTTTTTATTTTTGAATGATTACTTAATTACAGCTATGGCCACAAAACAGTCACTCAAATACCCTAATTCAGTTTACTGGTGAAGATGAAATTTTCTAAATGGAAAACACCACATAGTGAACATTAGACCATTTACTTTTATTTTGCTGTGTATGATTTTTTTTTTGGTGATATTAAACTTCAAAAGAAATTATTAATCTTATTTTTTCCCATTTTTTTTTCTCTGCCTGTTCTCTGTGTCCTCTTGACCTAGACCCAAGAAGGGGTCTTCCATATTTTCCAAACAAGGTTACAAGCCCTAGTGTCCCATGATATCAAATTCTGTAAACTCATTCACTAGAATGGCAGCTTCGTGAGGGCTTCACTCCTCTATACCTTTCCTTTAGCTCAGGGGTTGGCAAACTGTCGCTACTGGCCAAATCTAACCTGTCACCTGTTTTTGAACTCCTGTGAGCTAAGGATGGTTTTTCCATTTTTAAATGGTTAAAAAGAAACAAAAACAAAAATAAGAAAAATATTTTGTGAGATGAAAATTAAATGAAATTCAAATTCAGTATCCACAAAATATTTATTGGAAACAGCCATGCTCATTTGTTTATGTATTGTGTATGGGTGCTTTCACACTCAAATGGCAGAGTTGAGTAGATGTGGCAGAGAACATACGGCCCACCAAAACCTAAAACACTTATGGTCGGGCCCTTTACAGAAGAAGTTTGTCAACCCTGCTCAACAGCAGTGCCTTGTTCATATACTGCTTTATTGACTTCATTTTCACTGAGAGAGCCAACTGTGAGATGGAGTTGATGAATGAGTTTATTGAGGAATCGTCTTGGTCTTGGGAACAACCTCTGTGAGGGAGTGAGGGAAGCAGAAGATGTTTCCACAGAGGCCTCCACCATCTCATAGGGAGTTCTGGAACCAGGGTGACCCTTCAAAATGTTTCCAAATTGAAAAAGAGGGCTGGCTTTCATGCTCCAGCACCAACCAGGAGAGGATGTTACCTTAGCTAACAGTTCAGGGGAGGGCTATTCCAAAAGTGAGAATCAACTGTGAATCTTGAGCAGCCAAACTCCAGGCAGCTGATGGAATGAGCTCCTCAGCCCGAAGGAGCGATCTGGACAGAGTAATCCTCTACATTTCTCAGTATTTGTATTTGTAGAGTGAATGAATATATATTTTTTTCATTGCACATACTATTGGGTAAGAAAATCTGATTATGAAATTATTACTTTTCAGAAATGTTTTTCACCTTTTTAAGCATATTGCAATAATAGCTTCTATGTATTAATTGCTTCCTTTGTGTCTTGTACCATGGTAACTATTTTGCACGAATTATCTTCTATAATTCTCATCATAACCTTATGAGAGAGTGTCTGTTATCCCATTTTTACAGATGAACCAGCTGGGCTCAAGGAACTTAAATAATTTGTCCAAGGTCACACAGTAGGTGATGGAATCTGATTTCGATCCAGTTCCCTTGAACTTGAGGCTCAATCCCCACTGTTAACTGTTGAGGGTGGGGAATCCTATTACAGTAATTGAGAGCTGGGGCCTTGAAGAGGTGATTGGATTGTAGGACCATGCAGTAGTGAATGGACTAGTAATGGTGGTCATGGGCATGGCTCTCTGGGCTTTAAAAGAAGAGCACACGAGAAGTTCTTTTTCCCTGCTCCATCATTTCTGCCACGTGAGACCCTGGGTCACTGTTGCCACCATCAAGACCCTCCCCAGATCTGTTCTTTGGAATTTGGACTTCCCAGCCTCAGAAACTGTAAGCAATAAATTTCATTTTCTTTATAAATCACCCAGTTCCAGGTATTTTGTCATAAGCAACAGAAATGGGCTAATACAACACGTGTCTGTGTACACACAACAGGAGTAGGCCCTCTTTTCTGCAAGCTTAATATATTGGCAGAGAGACCTAGAAGATCACTAGGGAACAAGTAACAAAGCCACTTATTAATTAAGAACTTGACAAAGTGGTACAAACAGGAATAAGATTATCCATGATTGCAACTCAAGTTTAATGAGTGTTGAAAAGGAGACATGGTAAGAGGTACTGGACAGTGAAGGAGCCCATTGTAGGCAAAGCTTCCATAGGAAAGCAATGGTTTAAATTGTTCTTAAAGAACAAGATAGGATCTAAGCAGATGGATGGGAGAGGTGTTCCAGGCAGAGGTGTGAGAGTGTTTGGTGTGACAGGGAACTGCAAGTTGATGGCTGTAACTGGAGCCGAATGAATGCATGAATAGGCAGTATATTAGTTTGTCATTACTGTTGCAGCAAATTACTGGAAGATTAATGGCTTAAAACAACACAAATTTATTATCTTACGGTTCTGAAGGTCAGAAGTCCAAAATCATTCTCCCTGGGCTAAAATAAAAATGTGGATATGGCTGTGTTCCTTCTGGAAGCTCTAGGGAAGAACTGGTTTCCTTGTGCCCTTTCCAGCTTCTAGAAGCTGCCAGAATTCCTTGGCTCATGGCTGTGCATCACTCTGACCTCTCCTTCCATCATCACATCTCCTCTGACTCTAATCCTTCTGCTTCCCTTTTATAAGTACCCTTGTGATTACAGTGAGCACACGTTAATAATTGAGGATAATGTCCCCATCTCAAGATCTTTCATTTAGTCACATCTGCAAAGTCCCTTTGGCTATGTAGGGTGACATATTCACAGGTTCAGGGGATTATGGTGTGGACATTTGCTGGGGCAAGGGGGGAGGTAGGCCTTATTCTGTCTACCGCAGACGGTCACAGGATCATTTTTGACTCTTGTTTGTCAGAAATTTGCCTCTCCAGCATCAATTCTCCTTATTCAAGATAAGTAAGTCCATGTTTGCTTATATATAAAATATTTCATTTCTCTTTTTGCCTCCTGTCATCTCATATTGTGTTATTTTGGTTCGTCCATATACATTAGTTGGATTTTTCCCTTGCTCATTTTAGTCATCCTACTCTGGATTCTAATTCCTTTTTATCTTTCTTTCCTTTAAAACATTTCTCTCTTTTTATTTTTATTTATTTATTAATTTAATTTAATTTTTTTCTGACTGGTAAGGGGATTGCAACCCTCGGCATGGTGTGGTCCACACCACACTCAGCCAGTGAGTGCACCTGCCATCCCTATATAGGATCTGAACCCGTGGACTCAGCACTACCAGTGCCGCACTCTCCTGAGTGAGCCACGGGGATGGCCTGTCTTTTTTTATTATACAGGTAGTACCTACTCACTCTAGAAAATTTGTGTAATAACAAAGTAGAATATTGAAGAAAAACATCACTTCTAATTCTCCAGTCCCCAAACATTCATAGTTAACATTTTGAGTAAATATCTTTCCAGTCTTTTCTCCATGCACTTTTTTTGTTTTTAGTTTCTTTGAGTGGTGATCATGTTATTTATGAATAAAATATTGTGTCTTTTTTTCTTTCTTTGTTTTACTTACAGTATAACATGGATAAAAGTTCTAAAAATGGTAGATTTGCATTGTTTGCCTGAGAAAAACATAGTAGTTTTTCTTTTTTCCCCATACACTATTTGATAATGTCTGATATTTTGTTGATACCTGCTGTGGTTTGAATATCTCCCTGAGCTAATGTTGGAACTTAACCCCCAATATGGTGGTGGAAGCAGAGGCCTTTAAAGAGGTGATTGGATCGTGAGGACTGTGTCCTCATGGACTAATCCATTCATGGAGTAATGAGTTAATGGCTTAATGGGTAGTCATGGGTGTGGTTCTCATGGCTTTATAAGGAAAGCAAGTAAGAAGGTTATCTCTCTTGCTCTTACCATTCTTGCCGTGTGATACCCTGGTTACCACAGGACTCTGTAGAGTTCCCACCAAGAAGACCCTCACTAGATGTGTTCTCTGGACTGTGGACTTGCCAGCCTCCAAAATGGTAAGAAGTAAATTTCATTTCTTTGTAAATTACCCCGTTTCAGGTATTCTGTTATAAGCAACAAAAATGGATTAATACAACATTTTTGTCTGTTGTAAGTCATTGGGCCAATACACTGAGGAAATTGTTTGTATTAACAATAAGTTCTTTTTCTGAGTTATAACTGCTAACTTAGAGTTTGACATGTAATAAATATAATTTGGACTACTTCCATTTTACATTGTACTTGTCCATATTGAAAATCACCTGCCAAATATTTATCTACTCACTCTGTAAAATTAACTAACTAAATGCAACAAATATTTATGGGGCATGAACAAAGATGATATTGGCATACAAAGATGAAGTTGACATAGTTGCTGTTTAAAGAGTTTATTTGTGCAGTGCAAAACCAATAAATCAAGGCACACTAAGTGTAGGAAGACGTATGTAAAGACTATTTAGGATGCGTTGAATAATTTCTTTTTGCAATTTATTCCAATCGAGCACCTGCAGACCTTACCTATCATTTATTTAATTTATTTTCTTACTTTTTCCTCCAGCCCCTATTACAGGGTTATGAATGGAACCCTCAAGTCCTAAGTACTCTGGAAGAAGAGGAAAGCATAAATGTGGAGGACCTTCAGTACGGACAATAGTAGTCAACCCTGGTTTTGACTTTAACTTGGACTCAATCACAGAGAAGTCATGATACAGGGCCATTGTACATTTGATCTTGAAACCTCTCCACTCCTTCCCACAGCCCTTATTTTCGTCTTCCTATACCCAGTGTCTTGCCAGGAACAACCCAAATCCTGAAAACAGTGAGGTCAAGTAGAGAGCCTCTCAATATTTCACTTGAGACCTGCAGAGAATACTAGTTAAAGCTGCTTTTGTGATTTACTAACATTGGATATTAGGAGCATAAAAAAAACCAAGGGAAGTGTGAGACTGGCTTTTACGATTTTTTTTTTCCAGAATATAATTATATTTTTTTCCTCTTGAAAAACAGAGGTAAAGGTCAAGTTTCTGAGAGTAACTATTTTAGCTCAAAT